TATGTTTTTAGATTCAATATGAGAAATATCTCATAATATATGAATTATATAAATTAAACTACATGAATTTTTAAAAATCAATGGTCAAAGCGAAGTGAGTGTATCTCAACTGGCCAAGTTTCTTATGGTAAAATTAGCCTACCTGAATTCAAGTCCTATACTTGATACAGATGCTCGCTTTATTCAGTGGTAGGCGGCGTATATTGGGTTTATCTTGTTGCATGTATTGTACTTAAGAGAATAGGTTGATAGGTTAGATCATGCATGTAGTGATCAGTGTTCCTGGAGTTTGCACGAGCAATATATGTGGAAGCAGTGGATCAAAACGCCTCTGAACGTGTGAGACGCGGCCGGTGATTTTGAGATGGAGTGTACATGGCGAGAGGGCCGAGGTGTCGTGTGAGACGGCAAAAATGTATGCGTGTGTGGCATGTGTGGCAACAGTACATGAGTTTAGCAGCTGGTTAATTAGTAACTTAGTATAGTTAGTTGCATCATGGATAGATCGATGCACGTTCTGGTTGTTAGCTGGCGTGTAGGCGTACATGCAGCCTTGCCGAGGGTTAGCTTGTTAGTGCATGCAGGTGAGTGATTACCTGGTCATTAGGTAGATCGTGCTGTGAGTGGGTCTTGCTGAAGTGCCCGCTTGTGTGGCTATCTGTCTGTCTGTCTGTCTGTCTGTCTGTCTGTCTATATGTATGTATGTATGTATATATGTATACATGTATGTGTGTATGTACTGCGCGTCAGTTTACTTTAATTTAACAAGAGAAAAAAGAGACGTGAGCTGTAATAGCTGCGTCACCAAATATTGCTTCTCTTGTCTTGTTCTTTGTGTGCGCCTATCAAACAAAGCTTAAGTGTTTGGGTTAGTGAGTATATAGCACCAGATAGAGGGAGAGATTCCCAACAACGTATCCACCAACAACAAGACATTCGCAGTGATATGTTGGCTTAGCTTTTCGAAGGAGCTCATATGGGTAATTAAGATGTATGTGTGTATTTATAGGGGTGAGCGTGCGTCCGTTATAAACGTCTTTGTGTTTGTGCTATATGTTTCTAAAAAGAATTAATGGTGAAAAAGATACCAATGCTTAACTTATAACAAATCTACCACGACAAGTAATATGGAATACTATCGTAACTCAATGTTGCAGACTTTGCAGCTTGAAATGGACCCACTGTCTTAAGCATTGGCGTGCCTCTTGGCTCTTGCTATATATGTGCAGTGGCTGCACGTAAGAATGTCTCACATCTTTAACCAGAGGCTTGTCTTTCTACCACGGTTTCATCTTCAAAGATTTGAATTCAAAATTTTTCAATCTCAATGGTAAGGTCATGGTTACCACCGTAACCACGGTAAGGGTTGATAACCACAGTCTCTAACTTGAGGAAAAGAGGATCACGAAAAAAAAAGAAAAACATAACTTCACATTTGACAACAATAGAAATGCTATAATATAATGTCCAAAACTATGTTTTTTTCAAAAAAAGAAACTCATATGTTTTATTGATTAAGGACAAATTACATGATTTACATTCCCTAGCGTGGTAAAACCGTAAAGCTAAGAGAATGGCTGGTTTTACATAAAAGCCCCTGAATGATAAGCAAATTACACTTCAAACATAACATATGCGAAGGAGAACCTAAAAAGAAGATAAAAAAACAATCAGGTTCTTGCAACGACCACATCGGCGATGGTTGGATCCTCACGCACGGCAACAGCAGGAGCAGAAGAACCATGGTTAGCTGCAATGTGTAGAGCCAAGGAGCATGTCCAAATGGGGCTTTTCGATGGAGGTTGAAGTCTTGGCCCATAGGAGAAATCATCAGCCACCTTTTGTAAAGCTACCGTTGGAGACGAGGTTGACGACCATCGTAGGTGCCAGAGACTCATAGGAGATGGAGCAAATAACTAGCGCAAACTTTTCTTCGATAGTCTAAAGGACAGGTCTTCAACCCTAAACAAAACAGCAAAATTCCCAACTGAAGACATGTTGGAGGTAAACCCAACCTCACCGGTAAGAAGACGATGCCAGCAAGAACGCTAACGATGTCCATCATATGTCTGTCAAGCTGAGACAAGAAGAGTCGAACGTCGGCGGCCCTCTTTAGCTACATAAAGAACGGGAGAAACCCGTCTAAATCTTAACCTATCTACTAGTGGAGAAAGGAGCCGGACCGTCTCACCTGAACACCGACGACCGGGAGGCTGCCGGAGAAGGAACGGAAGGGGCTAGGAGTTGAAGCTTTTTTTTTTCCGCCCAAGACACCGTCTTTCGCTAGGGCCTTTGAGGCGAAAAGATAAGGACTAATGCCAATGGATTTGGACTTTACGTCGTCCACAACTACCATTTCACGGTATAATGTCCACTGACTTCGTCATCATGCCAAAATATGGAGTTAGCTTAGCATTTCCACAAAATTTTATTACCAGGTATCATTAAAAATCATATACTATTATAAGGAATTTTTTGGGATTTTTCTATGTTTTAAATTCGAACAATTTTTGTCCATTACTCTGTTCTTATCTTCACAGAAAAAGTAGCCTCCTTTCCTCACAAGTTAAGTTGCCTGAAAACGACGTATCGGAGCTCTCCTCATGTGGTTTTCAATTAACTGAGAAAGTCATAAGCAGCCCTGCAGGACATCTGACCAGATTATCTTTGACTTCACTGAATTTCAGAATCAAACGTTGCAGATTCCCTACAGTTTCGTGTAAGAAATTCTTCACTACTTATCCCATTTTTTATCCTCTTGAAAAGAATTAATCTTTACATGATAATATTGGGCTCGTTTGATCTGGAGCCAATTTTTGCCCTACTAAAATTTTAATAGTGCCAAAAACTTGCCTTGGCAAGTTTTAGTATTACCAAATTTAATAATATAGAATCTAAACTATGGTAGAAACTAAACATTGTTGCCAAAATTTTGGGTGGGTAAAAATTGGCTTCAATCTAAAGAAACGCATTGTTTCAAATATTGCCACATAGGCCGAGTTTAGTTCCAAACTATTTCTTCAAATTTTCAACTTTTCCATCACATCAAAACTTTCGTACACACATAAACTTCTAACTTTTCCGTCACATCGTTTCAATTTCAACCAAACTTCTAATTTTGGTGTGAACTAAACACACCCATAGTGAAGTCTAAACTTTGTCACGAATGGTTCTTTTGGGCTTATTCGTTTCAGCATTTGGACTGAGATTGCCAGGCGGCACGCGAAATGAGATAAATTATTAGTGCATGATTAATAGAATATTAATTATTATAAACTTTATTTTAAAGAAAATATATATATTTTTTGTTTTACACGAAACACACCATTTATGAATTTAGGAAGTAGCCATCTCAAAAGGCTATTTAGAACACACCCTTAGCAAGTATAGCATATTTTTTTAGTAAATTTCACAAAAATATAGAAACTATGATCAAATTATCACAAAACTACATATTTAACTCGGTGTATGACAAAACTACACATTTAACACCAAATTTATCACAAACCTACACATTTAAGATGAAGTGTCATGAAACTATATGTTTAGTAACTAAATTAACACAAAACTATATGTTTAGAAACAATTTAGTTACAAAGCAATAATGTTTATAGCTTCACCGTAACAATGGTGCTAAGAATTTAAACTCCAAAAGTTGTAGTTTTGTGATAACTTCAATATTAAATATGCATTTTTGTGATGCTTTACCTTAAATCTGCAGTTTTATGATAAATTTGGTGCTAAATTTAGAGTTTTGAGATACAATGTCTTAAATATGTGGTTTTGTGATAATTTGGTCAAAATACTTATAGTTTTGTGAAATTTACTCTTCTTTTTCAAGGACATGTCAGTATAAAATGAAAAGAAAAAACTCCATTTTACTCCCTCGACTTAATTCAATGTATCACTTAACCCGTTGAAATATTTTTGGTTCATTTTTACCTCTCTTAAACTATTAAACTATTGAAAATAGATCACTTTACTACTTAATAACATTTGTCTTTTTTGTTACTATTTATACAAGTTGTATTTGGCGCTGAAATTTCTTAGGGACATATAGCACCATTATCAAAGTTGAAAAATATTTTTTTTTCATGGTTGTTTGATTAAAATTTAAAATTTTGGTGTTTAAATCGGGCTTAAGCGCTTTCATCCTATGCAAAGTGAGAAAAAAAATTAAAACAATGTTGAGAGGTAAGTTGTGAATGCATTTGTATTCTCCAGAATTTTTAATGAAAACTATGGCAAATGCATTTGTATAGAGAAAAAAAAAGAAAGAGAGAAATAGCTGTAGGGATGAAGTGAACCGTATTCAATAGTTAAGGGTGTAAAATGAAAAAAAAAAATAGTTTCGCGGTTAAGTGCTCCGGTGAAATAGTTTGGATGAGTAAAATGGATTTTTTTAAAAAAAAATAAAATTTATGGGCACCTAAATTTTCAGAAAACAAAAGATTATATTATTCGAAGTTACAATGGTACAGCATAGGGAGAAGTCAATAGGCACACTTATGCATGATATTATTTACCTATAAAAAGATTAATGCCATATAACACGCACTACAAATAGATAATTAATGGACATATAAGTTGAAATTGTTGCCTGAGTTAATGAAACCGAAGCTAAAATGTCTGCAAATCAAATAATAAAAGTATACTGCATAGACGGTACACAACAAACTTGCAAACAAGAACACCCAACTATTCTCCCTGAACCAGAGCCTGGATAACAGGTGCATCTTCACTTGGATTCACTAGCCACTGGACGTTGAGTTCTCTACAAGGTAAACCAAACTAATCAAACTTTGGCACCATTTGTCCACAAAGTTTCTACATCAACACTTCTATAATTGTCAGGTACACTCAGTCCTGTTCAGCACTTGAGATATTTTTTCTTAGAACACATTAATTAGAGTTGGACGCTGCCACAAGTGTTGAATTCTGAAACTCTGAATTAATCTACCAGGAGATGAGCACACACAGGACCTAGCTTTTCCCTGCATGATGATTATTCAAAGAAAAATTCCATGATTCCACATTACTATCACACCAGGAATAGTTCAACTGACAAGCTGCGCAGCTGGACTGCAACCTTCATATAAACTATTCTGGTAAGTACAAGCTGATGAGAATACTTTGTCCATTAACACTAGAGAGAAGCTAGCTAGTGAAATCACACAGAATTCAGATATGCAGCAAATGGCTAAGCCAGTTTGCATATTATGTCTACAGTGTAGCCTCCTCTATGGCGTTAATCTTGCAGCCGTTGCTGCTGCCGGTGACGGCAACAGCGGCAACCAGTTTGCCTACTCCGGCTTTGCTGGAGTGAAGGACCTCACCCTCGACGGCACGGCCATGGTCACGCCGGATGGCCTACTCGAGCTGACCAATGGCAAGCCACAGGTTAAAGGCCATGCGTTCCATCCGACGCCGCTGCGCTTCGGGGAGTCGTCGTCCCCAGAAGGCGGGGAGAAGAAGGCAGCAGTGCGGTCTTTCTCGGCGTCCTTTGTGTTCGGCATCATCACTGCCTCCCCCGGCGTCGGTAGCCATGGCATCGCCCTGGTCATCACCCCAACCAAGGACCTCTCCTCCGGGCTCGCCAGTACATACCTGGGATTCCTCAACAGATCAAGCAACGGTGACGACAGAAATCACATCTTCGCGGTTGAGCTTGACACCATCGAGAACCCTGAATTCTCCGACATCAACGGCAACCATGTCGGCATCGACATCAATAGCCTTGTGTCTTCAAATGCCTCTGATGCCGGCTACTATGATGACAACACCGGTGAGTTCAAGAGTCTAACACTGATTAGCGGGAAAGCCATGCAAGTATGGGTGGACTACAACGACGATGCTACACAGATCGACGTGAGGCTTGCTTCGGTAGGAATCAAGAAGCCGTTCAAGCCATTGGTCTCTACGAGATTCAACCTCTCAGCAGTGATCACCGATGAAGCATATGTGGGCTTCTCAGCGTCGATAGGCACAATGACCTCGCAACACTACGTGCTCGGCTGGAGCTTCGGTGTTGGCACACAAGCTCCGGCCATTGACATGGATAAGCTTCCCAGGTTACCTGGCACTGGCAGAAGAAGCAAGAAGTCTTATCGGCCCAAGACCATAGTGATAGCTCTACCAATAGTCTCAGTGGTGCTTGTAATTGCTGTTGCTGCTGGTGTTTTTCTACTGATCAAGAGGAAGTTTCAGAGATATGTCGAATTGCGTGAAGATTGGGAGCTTGAGTTTGGAGCACATAGACTGTCATACAAGGATTTGCTTCAGGCAACAGAACGGTTCAATAACAAGAACTTGCTTGGAATTGGAGGGTTCGGGAGGGTGTACAAAGGAGTGCTCCCTACTTCTAGTTCGGAGGTTGCAGTGAAGAGGGTATCACACGACTCAAGGCAAGGGATAAAGGAGTTTGTTGCTGAGGTTGCAAGCATTGGTCGCCTCCGGCACCGTAATCTCGTACAACTGTTTGGTTACTGTCGGCTCAAAAAAGAACTTCTTTTGGTCTACGACTATATGCCAAATGGTAGTCTCGACAAATATCTGTACAGCCATGATGACAAGCCTACTCTGAATTGGGCTCAAAGGTTCCAGATTATAAAGGGTATTGCATCTGGCTTGCTTTATCTTCATGAGGAGTGGGAGCAAATTGTTATCCATCGGGACATCAAACCAAGTAATGTGCTCCTTGACAACGACATGAATGGACGGCTAGGCGACTTTGGGCTCGCTAGGCTCTACAACCGTGACACTGAGCTGCAAACCACAGTTGTTGCAGGTACCTTTGGTTACATGGCCCCTGAATTAGCACTAACTGGCAAGGCATCCCCTCTTACAGACGTGTTCGCCTTCGGCGCATTTCTCCTTGAGGTCACCAGTGGGCGAAGGCCTGTTGAGCAAGACATCGAAGGGCATCCACTCCTGCTGACAGACTGGGTGTTTGAGCATTGCAGCAATGAACAGATTCTTGCCGTTATTGACCCAAGACTTAACGGCAACATTAACATTAGTGAAGCAAGTTTAGTATTGAAGTTAGGGCTCTTGTGCTCGCACCCAATGTCTAATGTAAGGCCAACCATGCGACAAGTTGTGCAGTACCTCAACGGAGACATGCCCCTCCCAGAGATGTCACCAATGCACTTTACTTTCAGCCTGTCAGCACTCATGCAGAACCAAGGGTTCGACTCGTCATCGAAGAGTTTAGGCACGATTAGTACTCTTTCAATTGGGAGATGACAATGCAAGATGACGCACTTTTGTTCATAGATAGAATCTGTTTCTTTTCACCACATTAGGTCAGAGTTTCTTGTAGTTATTCTTAGCTGAAGTGCACTATCTCCAGCCTTGAGTTGAGAGATTTACTAATGTGCCTATGCATGTTTCTTTCTTGTGACAAAGTTTATCAATTCCTTGTATATAAATGCTGTAAGGCACCGAACCGCCTGGGCTCCCCTCCCATATTGAGAACCACCCGTGTATGATCATTGTAAAATCTGGAGTTAGAGGAGTTTAATTTTGTGTTTTTTCTTAATTGAGTGAATTAATCCATAGGAAATCAGAACTACAAGTATGGAGGATATTTGCACCATCACGCTGCACCAACTACTACAAGACTTTTGGCCCCAGCTTTGAAATTTACTAGCTGCTTAACTAGTACGCAGTGATGTGATTTCACAATCTCCTATCCTATTCCATAGCCCCTGAAGTCGCCGCTTCCACGGTAGTGTAGTTCTCAGTGCCAGCGTGTGGAGGGTGTTCAGCTAATTCAGTTATCCACAATTGATCCAAGATGTGAGGGAATAAGGTTCAAGGAACTGGAGTATGAGTTCTATATATTTTTCTCTTGGATCTTGTGAACTCCCTAGTCCCACGATGCTAATTAAGACTGACAGCAACCGGCAAATATATATATATTACCGTTCATTCGTATATAATATAGTTTGTTTAAACAAATCTAAATAATTAGAGGGACGAGCCCGTTGAAACATTGATATCTGTTCGTGGTGGTGGAGGATGGTAAGAATCTGAGGTGTGCCCAGTTGCTGAAGAGAAGATCAACACTAAAACCGAAAACAACTTCGCCTAAACACAAATGCGATTACATCGTTTATATGACACTAAATAGACCAACAACTAAAATTAATCGACATCCAAACATGCTTAGATTACCTCTTCCGCTCGTCCAGCAATATGAAATGAACCCAATTGTACTTCCACGACCCCTTCTACCTGTTCAGCGCAGCCTCTTCCACCGCAACAATTCCATTGCCACAAGTAGTTGGGGTTGGTGGCACATCACCCACGGTTAAAATAGCTATTCAAATCTGACAAACAAGCGATGAATCTTAGTCATCCAATCGGTTTTGAACCAAATAAATAGGATTAATCGGAAACATAATGCCCAATGTCCTACCTAACCTAACCTACCTCTTTGAGATACCTTCCGTCGCTGATTTTCAGCCACCAGGAAATCAGTAATCGGGAACCACAGCTCGCTTGCTCAGCTCCTCGATAGGCTCCTTCCACCAGCTCGAATGCTCGATGCGACGCAGACACCGAGCGCACGCAGCCGCCTCCCCCACCGGCCGCCGCTTGCCTCCACCGCTCCACGCGCCTGGCTTACCCAGTCGCAGCCTTCCCGCGCTTCTACGGACTGCGGCCCCCGCACCCCGCATATGCTGGCCGCCCAGCGGAGCCCTCATTAGCCACCCCCCGCTGGCCGCCCGGCCGCCGGCGGGCGGCGGCGGCCAGTCGCCAACAAGGCCGTTGCCGTTGCGCTCGCTGCTGGGGTTTGGCTCAATCGCACAAGGAGTTGGGTAAGGTGGTCAAAGCTGGTCAACACTGCCCTCTGGGCTGGGCCCTAGCCTAGTTCTGATACATCCGGGCCACCATTTTTTCTACTGAAAGGCCACAGGACACGCCCCAGTGCAACCAACCTAAGCAAAGCTGTAGGCCATCGCTCCTTCTCTCCCAGTCGATGGGCCTATTTATTAAGATTTTTGAGAACGATTTTGCTATATCTCACTCGAAAGATTTTTTCTTATCTCTCACTCGATTTTCTCACTCAAATTTACAGTGCATTTTCTTGTAAGTTATAGTGTAATTTATGAAACTTACACTGTAACTTTTGTAAGTTACACTGTAATTTTTGAATCTTCACATGTAAATTTTAAATTTTGTATTTGATTTGGTCTTTTTCTTGAGGATATGGTAATTTAATGTTCATTATGGTGTTTCTTAATTGCTTTTTGCTTTTTATTATATCTATCGGATTTTAATACAAAGATTAAAAATCTGTGTGATACGATTATAAAAATCTTTCGAAAGATGTATAGGTACTCCCATTTGAGAAATACGGAGTAGTTAGTTGTCGTTTGATTATTTTTCTAATCAAACTTATTTAATTTTGCCAAGTTTATAAAAAAATATAATAATATTTTAACACAAAACAAACATATTATCAAAATATATTCAATTTAGATTTAATAAAACTAATTTTATATTTTAGATGTTGCTAATTTTTTCTATAAAATCGGTCAACTTAACAAAGTTTAACTAGAAAAAAATCAAACGACTTATAATATGAAACGGTGGGAGTAGTTAGCTTTTGAAACAGTTTTTAGCTTCTATTTAATTTTATTATAAGACATCTAGGCTGCCATTGGATGGCCTAATGAGCCAAAGAAAAAGCCAAATTTTAAATTTTCAAGTTTAATTTTGAGATTGATTTTGAGATATTTTCAACGTAGTTTCTTTTTCAACATTGGCTTTTAAGTCACCAAGAACATATTTATAAAAAGTTTTATCTACAAATTTATTTTTATTTCCTAATAAGCCGTTTTGGCTTATTAGGAATTAAGCCAAACGATGGGGACCTAAAATTTATGTAATTTGTTGATATACATCATAAAAACATGTCACGGCTGAAAGACACACTAAAATGCTGGTAATTTACTAGAGGATACTTTCGATTCAATTGGAGATATAGATTCACATGCTTCTAACATGACGTTAGAGTGAAATTTTAGAAATTAAACAACTTTAAATTTGTTATTGCCCCAAGTACATCATTAGCATACATCATATTCCATTTTCACTCTAATCTTAGCTCAAAAAGTTTTTGACCCTAGGGGTATTCTTGTCTTTTTGAAGAAAGTGTCCTTTGGCAAATTATTAATTTTTTTGATTATCTTTCAGTCATGACATGTTTTTTATGTCTATCAGTTAATTACATAAATTTTTAGTATATTGTAGTAAATTTTGATTTCTTTTTGGATTTAACAAGTGCAGCTTATCAAAATCTGAACGAGAAACTAATTTGTTTCAAAAAGTTTTTGATTTTAAAAGAAGCTACATCTGCTATGCTAGGAAACCTCTAAATAACCTCATGGCTGATTGGCAACGTAATTACGCTGCGAACGAGGGTCAGCTAGCTAGAGGAAGAGTACAATTAAATTAAAAATCTTGTGTAACCTCCAAGCCAAGTTAAGTTAGCGGCCCGGTAGGCGCTCATGGGTGCATGTCATATCCTCCTGCCTACTGTACTCACCACCGGATTCTCGGGGTCCAGCTAAGCTGCTAGCTCTCTGTGATTGCGGCTAGACTTGCAGCGACCAGCAAGTGTTGTTCTCGCAAATGATTTCGGCTGGGTCGTCAGTGTGTACGTCCACCTGCACGTGACCTCCCTCGATAGACTTTTTTTTTCTTTTTTGAAGTTTCTTGACTTTTTAAAAAATATCAAGACTAAAGACAATGCTCCGTGCAAACTGCGGAGTCGTAGCGACAAGTGCCGCACAGTGCAGGGATATGTACAGAGTTTGCATAAACAGAGTCACGCAACTTGGGGGACTACAAATTGAGCCTCAGTAGATAGCATGCGGGATTTTTGTTGCCACACACACACACACCACCCTGGCCAAAATCTTGCACCCCCAAAGTTTGATTTACAAGTGGAAAATCAAATTAGCGTACATGTGCCTTCTCTGGTTTAGTAGTGTAACATGTCTCAGGGCCTCATCGTTTGGCTTTTTTCGTAATAAGCCAAAACAGCTTATTAGAGAATAAAAATAAATTTGTAGGTAAAAATTTTATATATGTGTTCTCGGTGACTTAAAAGCCAATGCTGAAAAAGAAACTACGTTGAAAATATCTCAAAATCAACATCAAAATTAAGTTTAAAAATTTAAATTTTGGCTTTTTCTTTAGCTGAATAGACCATTCGATGGGAGCCTTAAAAACAAGACCTGTTCAGTTTACTGCTAAAATTAACCTATTGCCAAATTTTTGGTAAGTTAGCATAATTGTCAAATTTTGGTCGGATGGAATAAATATATTGTGCTAAAGTTTACTATGCATTACCAATATTTAATAACAAACTAAATACAATCATATATTTATCAATTTTACTAAACAATGGTATACTTAGAAATGGCACCAATCTAAATAGTCCCAAAACTTTTCATAGATAACCATTTTCATCACGGGTTATTTTGTACTCCCTTCGTTAGGGAAATACCCTTCATTTCTAATCTTAATTTGACCATTTTATCTATTCTATTCAAAATCAAGAATTTTTCTCTATTCAATATCCTTTATCTATTTACTCCGTGACTTCTACTCGGTGATACTATTTACTCCATCCGTCCCTAAAAAATGAATATAGAACCAGATGTGACATATGTATGTAGATTTTTTATGGGATGGAGAGAGTAATGGTTAATGAAGGATAATTTAATTTTTTTATCGCCACTTATTTGTTGCCGAATAGCTAGAAAAGTCTTTTTATGAGAGTCGGGGCAGACCAACGCTAGAATCGAACATATGCAAACAGGTCGAACTACGGACCGTTTATTTGGTTTACAACTATATACCCGAAATAAACTAGCAAGTGATCAGAACACTACTATACAACTTTTTTAGTTGAACAATATGGGTCAAATGAGCACCTATCAGTGAAAAGACTTATATTCGAAAGTAGTAGAACTCATAAAAAAGAAAATGTGATTTTTGTTGTACAGAACGCTTTCAATGCCAATAGATAAAATATGCACACAGCACACTTGCTGAGCACAGCTGAGTACTAGTGAGTAGTAACTGTCTACCGACCTTCCACTCTAGAGGTCGGGCCCACATGCAGTGACCCACCAGTTTAGGTTAGCTAGGATCCGCGTGCGCCGCGCGGTCCCCCGCGAGAGGCAGCACCCGCCCGGCCACGTCGTTAAAGCCGCGCCACCTGATTCACCGCAAGCTCCCGCGTCAATTACTACTGCTGCTCTACTGCACTACATCCTCCCTCCTCTTCGATTTCCCGGATCATCTCTTTCAGCCGATGTGATCGGATCCCCTCCACCCCGCGCGCGCCATGGGCAAGAAGCACGCCGCCGCCGGCAGCGGCGGCGGGTGGCTCGCCGCCGTCAGGAAGGTCTTCCGCCCCTCCAAGGACGCCGCCGACAAGGTAGCAATGGCGGTCGCGTGCGTGGTTCTCATCGTTCTTGATCGTATCGATCACGGTCACGGTTCGTGTGAGTCACTCTCGATCGTGTCTCGTGCGTGCGTTGCAGAAGGGTGGCGGCGGCGGCGATAGGGAGGAGGAGGCGGCGGCGGAGGCTGCGCCGGAGGTCCTTCTGCTGGAGCATTTCCCGGCGGGCGGGACGTCGCCGTCGGCGGAGGGGACGGGCAATGATCAGGGCGGCACGGTGGTGGGGAAAGGGGAGGGTGAGGAGGAGGACGGCGAGGACGGGTACGGCGAGGTGGAGCGCGCGAGGGCGCTGGCGGCAGCGGCGGAGGCGGCGGTGGCGGCGGCCGAGGCCGCGGCGAGGGTGGTGAGGATGTCGGCGCTCCGGCGCGCGTCGCGGGAGGAGCGCGCCGCCGTGCGCATCCAGGCATTCTACCGCGGCTACCTGGTACGTACGTATACGCGCGCCTAGCAAACCAAACCTGAAAAAAATCATGCTCTGTTTATCAGGATAATTTTGTGCAAACATGCTTTTACTATATTTATCTTTTCTAAAATAATCGTGTGCATATTTGCATCCACATCAAATCGTCAACTACACAAAAACTATATGGTAATAATTTATTGTTAAAAATGTTACCGAAGATATGGATTGTTTTAGAAAAGATAATAATTTATTGTTAAAAATGTTACCGAAGATATGGATTGTTAAAAATGTTACCGAAGATATGGATTGTTTCTGTTTCACAATATTTATTCATTAATTTGAGCCATTATTTCACATTATTTAGTGAGCGTGTGTATAGGGGGCTCACTTCACTCGCAAGTAGTGTGGGCGTGCAGAGTAGAGTTTGTGTTTGTGCGCCACTCACGTAAAAACAACCGTATGACTAAAATCGAAACAGCAGTTATTGAAACATTTTGACCTGCAGAGAGGTGGTAGTTAGTTATAGCATTTAAAAGAGGCATCTACTGTCGTTTTGTCCCAACTATTTGCTGGGGTGAGATCTTGGCAAGTGTACATGTTTTTGTTTATAGTAACAAGTTAACTGTAAAAAGTTTGAAAACGAACAGAGTACCAGTTGGATTACTGATAGAACATTTCCCCGCAAAATAAATAAATAATTAAAACGAAGGACTGCCAGTAGAACATAACTTTCACAATCAAAACACCACCAACACATTAAGTCTTTTGCGCCAGACAAAAATTCCGAAGGGAAGTACACAAGAAATCAAAAGAAAAATCATAATCAAGAATTGAGAGGCAAAAAAGGTGGTGAGTGTGTGCTCAAGTTGGTGGCAAGATCTCGTGTTAGAATCAGTGGGGGCACTTTTAAGGTGATCAGTCTTAACTCATCTAGCTTAAAACCTACAAGCGAGGTATCAGGATCGCTTACACCGCAAGGAGTGACTGATTAGATAGATCTTAGGGACCAGGGGGAAGAGGTGACTTGGGGACAAAACATGAATCAATTATTACATGTTTTCTCAGCTTGGGGTAATTCAAAATGTTTGACACCGTTGACTTTTTAGTATATGTTTGACCGTTCGTCTTATTAAAAAAATTTATGAAATATGTAAAACTATATGTATACATGAAATTATATTTAACAATGAATCAAATGATATGAAAAGAATTAATAATTACTTAAATTTTTTGAATAAGACGAATGGTCAAACGCGTACTTAAAAAGTCAACAGTGTTAAACATTTTAAAACGGATGGAGTATATTACATGAATCAGCACGGCTTTAACGCAGTTACAGAGACTACTTCTCCTACCTGTGATTATTGATCATTGGTCGTCTCATATGCATATCCATCCACCTTGCTTGATTGGCACCTACCATATCAGACCATCCAGGACGGATAGTAACTGCGTTTCATGTCCGGATGCCAAACAACTGGGTACTACTTGACAGTTTCAACGTTGGACCATTGTGTATTGCTTTTTTGTGTGCAGTTTAGTGCTTGTCTTCTAGTGTAACCGCAACAAATCGTGTGCTGTAAGTCCCATGATTACAGAGGAAATCATGCATTCCGGTCAACCATATTAGCCCAAATCTAGTGCTTAAGCCACTAAACATTCCTTGTTTTCTTTATTTTACGCAAATTGGTTACACACAATATTTGTTAAGATTATGACTCGTTTGGAAAAACACAAGGCACTGCTTGATTATAATTTCAGTTTGAATTTTAGAATTTGATTCTAAAACTAATTTTTGGCAGGCCGGGTTTTCTTCGCCAATTTTATTAGCAAGCTCTATTTTTATGACTAAACAATATTCCTAAATAATTTTTAAAGAAATCAAATTTCAAAATTTTGCCTTTTTCTAGTCAAAGTAGTGACAAGCACAGCCTGTATATTTTTGTTGAATTAATTATTAAACTCTTTTGAAAAACCCTCCTTTAAAAAGACATTTTTAAATATTTATTATAATACTTCACAAATAAACCCTAGCCTAGCAAAAAGAACGAACAAATGAGCACACAAACCTCAAATGGGGAGATATTTTTGGGGATGTAGCCTAACTTGAATGTGGTTCAAATTGGGCCTCGAAACATAGTATTTCACCGATGATTGGGATAAGCAAGAGAGAGGGATAGCAGGTTGGTCTAGGAAACACCTAGTACACGCTCAGTTACACGGGCGCCCCTGCACGGTGGGTTTCCCCCTCTGGTCTCTCCTCTGTATACGAACTTTGTATACATATGATACAAATTTTATACGTATGTATTCAAAGTATATGCATACGTGTATATATAAAGTTTATATAGTATTTGTTTACAAACTTTGTATATAGACTTATACAACTTTTATATGTATATAAATTGACACGTATATGTATACTTTTTGACATATAAATATTTTTATTAATATGCGTGTACAAAATTGGTATATACATATAAAGTTTGAGTTTGTATGTATACATATACGGAATGTTCGTATGGTACATTTGTCGTGCGGGAAGACACGCGTATGCCTAGTCACTAATTAGTGATTTTGGTTGGTCTAGTCAAGTACGCAGGAAAGGGAGAGAGGAGAGAAGGAACGAAGCAGGAGCCGACCCCGAGCCTTATTAGGGCATGTACAAAATTAGAGTCAGATGTGAGCTCTATCACCTAGAAATTATTCTCTTACAACATTTGAGGCAATATGGTATCTAACCATTAATGTACGAAAATAATTTTTTCTTTCTCTTCTTTCCTTTCTTTCAACCCCGTGCAACAAAATATTTCCTAATAAATGTTAAGAGTCGACTTTGAGATGTCATGTGTAACCATGTTTCTCTTTCCTGTTCTTTCTTTCTTTCATGTTACCAAATTTACTTGCATGGTAATTTATAGAACTCACTAATAAAAATCGTTGTACATGCCCTTGGCCTCTGCCATATTAGATAGATTGGAGCAATCCTAACACGCCATTTACCTTATGTGGTCCCATATCCTCTGCTATCATGACATCCTTTGCCATGCTACATGCGCATTGGCCACATTGAAAATAACAACTTGATTGAAACATAGTGTAGTATATTTTTAAATTTTTATAATAAAAAGGTTTTAAAAAGTTCTCCAGAGGTCTTAGGCTGAGTTCTTCTCTTCTAGTTACCAACTCCCTTCGATTGAGGTCTATAGGAAAGTTACTCTAAAAATGATATTAATCTATTTTTAAGTTTTGTAGGTAATACTTAATAAATCTCGTGTTAATTATTTGCTTTGTTTTCCGCGTGGCAGGAGGCTAAGGTTGCTTGTCTTCGAACTCAGGCCCCGTTTAGTCACAAAATTTTTTTCCCAAAAACATCACATCGAATCTTTAGACATATGCAGGGAGCATTAAATATAGATAAAAACATAAACTAATTGCACAGTTAGGGAGGAAATCGCGAGACGAATCTTTTAAGCCTAATTAGTCCATGATTAGCTATAAGTGCTACAGTAACCCACATGTGCTAATGACGGATTAATTAGTCTCAAAAGATTCGTCTCGCGGTTTCTAGGCGAGTTATGAAATTAGTTTTCTCATTCGTATCCAAAACCCCCTTCCGACATCCGGTTAAACGTCCGATGTGACACCCAAAAATTTTCTTTTCCCTAACTAAACAGGCCCTCAGCCTTATGGTAAATTCAGATATTGACAGCTCTTGCCAATAAAATCTCAATTGTTTCATTTAGTCAGTTGATAGTTTGAAGACACAATCATCAAAATGTGCCAAGCTAATTTTTCAAAGAGTTTTGCACAAATTTAGTTTTGAATGTGTATCATTTTCCTTTTTATTTTCTTATCAAGGAAAAGAAAATAAACAGTGTCTCTGATGTTGACGTGGCAGGCGCGTCGAGCCCTGCGCGCGCTCCGCGGGCTGGTGCGGCTGCAGGCGCTGGTGCGCGGTCACCAGGTGCGGCGCCAGGTCCACCTCACCATGCGCTGCATGCAGGCGCTCGTCCGCGCCCAGGCCCGCGTCCGCGCCCGCCGCCTCATCACCGACCACATCCACGCCGGCGTCGCCCCGCTCCGCCTCCCGCCCCTTCCTCCCGCCACCGCCGCCGCCACCTACAGCTCCCGGCGACGGGAAGGCGGATACTCGTGGCATCCTCTCCGCAACAATTCGTACCACGCTCAGCTCGGCGAGCGAGACGAGAGCGACGACGACGTCGACGGCGACGGCGGCAAGGTTGGCGAGCACGCGCGGCAGCAGCAGCAGCGGCAACGAGGCAACGACGTCAGGAGCAGGAGCCCTTTCCGGAGCTGGGACGGCAGCAGCCGCACCCCGGAGGAAGACAGGGCCGAGGGCGTGCGCCGGCACGACGCCGCCGCTCGCCGCGAGCGCGCGCGCGCCTACGCCTACGGCTACCAGCAGGTGCGCGCTCCCACGCCTACCGTGGATGTCTCGACTACTAGTACTTGACGAGCAACGTTTTACTGACCATGATCTAGCAGAGACAATGGCAGGAGAAGGCCGGCGGCTTCCAATGGCTGGACAGATGGATGGCAGCGCAAGCGCAGCAGCACGCGCCGGAGCCCGACAAGAGCCGCCGCAGAGCCGCCCTGACGGCCGCCGCCGACGGCACCACCATGCCCGAGAGGACGGTCGAGATGGACACGACGTCGTACCGGAGCCCGCTCAACTCGCACTCCGCCGCCGTGCAGGGCCGGCCGCCGGCTGTCCCAGGTTACATGGCGGCGACGCAGGCGGCGCGCGCCAGGGCGCGCACGGCGCCGCCGGCCACCCCGGCGCACGCCAGGAGCCGGTCCGGCGCCGTTCTCGCCGGGGACACGTCGAGCTCGGGGCAGAGCGGCAGCGGCAGCGGCGGCGGCGGCGCGCATGTACAAAAACCGTGCGCGGTGTACAGCCCGGAATCGAGAGGCACCGGCGACTGGACGCCGCCACGGCTCGCCGTCAGCAGCCGCGCCACCAGGTTGGTGTACGCTTGATTCGGCGTGGCGCGCCCATCCGCGAAACACAAAATCTGATGGGATCGTCAGGGTTGTAACTTGTGCTTTGTGTACTTCCCAAACCATGGCAGATTTTGGATTGCTTTCTTGTTGTTATACCAATGTATAGCTTGCTGTGTGTGGCAAATGTCTGAAGATCGTGTAAAAGTTTTGAATGTTCTGAAAAAAAAAACAATTGGGGCACAATAAAGTTAAGAGCCATTCTCTGTTCAAGTTCTCCGAGTAGATTTTAGCATACATTTGTTGTTTTGAATTTGGTACTTGTAATTGCTGCTTGTTTGTTATTGCCAAAGCTTTCTTTGTTCAACTTCTGGATTTACCAGTTTATATGTGCAACTGATGTGGCAAAATGAACAAAAAAGATTGCTCCCATTAGGGTAAAAAATTGAGGGACCATAGTCCTTTTGCCATGACAAAATGAACTGTCCTTTTTTCTTCTAATTGTTATGTGAAATCAGTGGAAAAGGAATTTTTCATTGCAAAAATGTATGCTCCATTTATGTTTTGGACAACACACATCCTCAATAGATTGCAGGCAATTTTCTCTCCCACATTAATAAAAGGAGAGATAAATTACCAAACAATTCCTAGAAGGACCAACCTGTAATTTTAACCCTGTACAACAAATACCATACAAATCAGAACTCTTCAAATCCACACTTTCCCGAAGAATGAATGGCCTTATATTGCAATTATTCGCTGACTAATTTCTATGCCGCAGTAAATTCTTAGTTACCGAGAATCTCTGTGCTGCTGCAAAATTCAGAAATGGAACTGAAGACGTCGAAAAGAGCCTTGAAAATAAAAATCCCTTGTTTGACTATAAGCTGGTAGCTGATACTCTCACAGGCTTCAAAACTCTTAGTACCCTCCTAGCATGCTCAAGAATAATATAAAATACTCCAAAGAAGAAAAGCAAAATGAGTTGCAACTTCCCAAGTAGATTGTATATAACGATGATGTTGCATTCTCGTTTAGCAAGACGACTATCTGATCCAGCAAGAAGTAGATCTGGTTTTTGACAGAACACCACAAATTATTTGAAGAAAAATAATCCAAATATTTCAAAAATTATGTGTAATTTTAAAACGCAATTACCATCAGACTTCTTAGGAAGGTTTGACCATTCCCCCTGATCTGTATTTGATTTTGATGCTTTTATCATCTCCATGAGGGACATATTAACCTGCAAGGTAGTTTGTCAGTTGGAATGCAACTATTGTTGCATAGTACTGAACATTGAAGTCAACAAATATCAAATCTAGGTTAAAAAAACAAATATTAAATCCGTAAAAAAATGATGCGTTTACCTCAGCTGTTCTTTCGTGGCTCACCAGGTGGCCTCCATGGAGTTCAACCAGTTTAGCAGCAGGCTGGAGCTTCTCTGCTAGTCTCCTTGCATGATACAACTGAGCTACAACATCATCCCTGATGAAATACCATCATACAGATGATCAGTACAGTGATGAGATAACACCAGTCTAAAGTGAATTATTAAGGCTACTAATCACCTTCCGTGTATAACTAGAATAAGAAAACCTGATGAACGAATCCGGTCTAGTTCTTTCTGTGTAAGCTTATGCGTCCAACATGCATTCAGTTGTCCTTCATATCCATGTCTTGATTGCATTCCACATGATGACAAACCTTTCACATATTCCTGTAAAAAACAGTAACGCTTCCTTGATCAGATGAAACAAGTATCCACATGATATTTGTAGATTGTTTTAATTTGAAATTCAGATTGTTTCAGATTTTTTTTACTTGGCAAATAAAGAATAGTTTCAGTTTCATCATAATTAAATCTAGCTAGAGCATAGGAAAGATCAACATTTCCAATTTTGTCAGTGAACCTTCCTAGTCTAACAAATGTGAGTCAAAGTCCATTTTTCTCCCTATTATGGATGTTACATTTGTCATATAAATGATCTGCAATTGCTTACCTGGTAAAGCATTTGTCTTCTGGTATTTGATCCAACAATTTCATCGAGGTACTCCTACAGTATGACAAAAGCTGTAAATTATTCTCTTTCTTTTTTAGCATTCAAATAAGGAAAACTTGCACAAGAATATTCATTTATACTAACCCTCGTGTAATGAACATCAAGATCAACACCAGCTCTCTGCTCTGGAGTTCTTGCTCTTAGAAAACGACATGCGAGGGATATGGTCTGCCAATCAATCTGGACCGAAAAATGCAACGGACATTAGGACCAGGCTACTTTATTTTATTTTATTTTTTGCTAAAAAATACATGTTAGTGCAATAAGCGAAATGTCATAAATTAAATAACTGTTATTCACCAAGACCATATATACTTTGACAATGTCAAGATAAGACTGCATTCTACTGAACAACTTGTTTGAAGGCTTCAACGTGAGTTCTGTTTTGAACAACATGGATAGTTTATAAATACAAGCACTGGACATACAAAATGTCAAACCCATAAATTAAAAGAGCCCCAAATTGATTTGACATTGTTCATTGCAAAAATTATAAACATTGTACACTTTAATTTGCAGATATTTATTATTATGGACATGGACACGGTGACAACGCATGGTGAAAAAGAAGAACTATTGTACGTTAGTACGTGAATGGTGTAAAATTGTCAAAATATCCATTGCTTTCACAAATTGAGTGTACATACTACTAGAAAGGGAGGTCTCAATCATGCTGCAAAATATCCTTTTCTTCCTCCCAAAACCAGTAACTACAGATTCAAAAGTACGGAAGAAATTTGTTTGTATATAGTGGACATATCTTCATTTTAATTCTAGTACAAATTTAACGTGGCAACAATAAACTCCGGTCTTTGGCAAAGACCGCGCCAATATTGACTCTTCCTCTCTGAGCTACATATCAGCTGGCAGATTTTTCGTTTCATCATTGTCAAATCATATTTAATTTTCTAATCAATTGAAAGACCATCCAGAAACCAGAGAATTTAAAGTAAGGAAAGCAACAGCTGAAACCTTCAAGTGCCAAAGTTGAAAAAAATATCCCCTTGTGATTGTGACTCAAGTCTCGAATAAAGCCTAGCCCTTCTTTTTCTCTGAACCAGTGAAAAGAAACAGAAAAAAAAGCACACAAGGATTGACAGGATCAGAGTACCTTGGGGATACATTGGTAGCCACCTCCGGTGGTGTTGAGCAACGCCAGCGAAGCGACACGCTCCGGCGCAATGGCGGCCAACTTGGAAGCTATCATGGACCCTGCTTCACCATGATCCCCATAATTAGTTCCAATCTCTGAATCTGAAGTTCTGAACCCTCAAAAATTGCAGACAGGGTCATCTGAAAACAGAGTATGCATGTCTTACCCATGGAGTGACCGAAAACGTGTGCTTTCCGCCACCCTAGATGATCCATTAATGCTAGCGCGTCCTTCGCCATGATCACCGTGCTGCGAAGAATCGAGCAGATGAAATGATTTTATTTGGATATTTGATGTTGGGAGAAGATTAGAAAGAACTCGACTAGTATCTCTGTCTCTGTCAGAGAATTCAATGGGTGGTAAAGAGCAGAGCATTACGTGTACTGCGATTTGTGCGGCGGCACGGAGCTCCGGCCAATGCCGCGGTTGTCGAAGCAGCAGACCTCGGCGCCCTCCCCGGCGGCGCCATCGTCGCCGGCGGGGGACTCCTCGTCGACGGGCTCGACGGCGCCCGTCAGGCCCTTCACCTGCGGGCCCCACGACTCGTGCGTCCCCGCGAACCCTGCGCCAACGCGTCGACGTGACGAGAGATTAAAATCTTCGTTTTTCTTTTTTTGGTTTTTAAAATCATTAGAGGAACAGGTAAAAAGCGCGTAGGAAAATATCAGCTCGCGGATTCGAAAATTGATTAGTGAAGCATCTCGTGGAGGTGGAGAGCACGAAGCAAAAGCAAATTCCCCACAAGAGGGGGAAAAGAAAAATCCCAATCTCCATGAAACTGTGGTCGGCGACTCGCCGGACGCCCAAATTAACATGGCGAGGATCAAGATATGACCCACGAGGCCACGACGACGGCGATGGCCGGCCGCCGTGTCGCCATTACAGGGAGAGGCGGAGCTCGAAGAGAGGGAGAGAACAAAAGAAAAAAAAGCGTGGGGGGAGGAGGACGACGGCGTGGACACACGGCACGTACGTACCGATGATGAGGAGCACCTTGGTGCCGCCATGGCCGTATCTCTGGTAGAAAATCCGCACATCTCCCTCCTCGCCGGCCGCCGCCGCCGCCGCCGATGGGTCGCCGTGGCTGACCACGCAGTACGGCATCCTCCCTATCGCGTGCCGGAGGGCGCCGTCACGGGCTCGCGGCGGCACACACACAACCAAGGTTTTTTCCCTCCCTTTTGGGCCTTGGTTGCTTCGCCCGCCGGCCGCCGATCGGTCGCCCCAAGATGTGCAATTCGCCGACCAACCAGCCAACCAACCGGACACGCGGGTACAAATTGGTTAGTATTTGTAGGTAGGAAGGAGTACTAGTACTAGTTTTTACTGGCAACATTTGACCACTTGTCTTATTCAATTTTTTTTTAAATTATTAATTATTTTATTTGTGACTTACTTTATTATCTACAGTACTTTAAGCATAACTTTTTATTTTTTATATTTGCAAAAAAAAATTTAAATAAAATGAGTGGTTAAACGTTACAAGCAAAAACTGAAAATCCCTTATATATATCGTCGGATCGGAGGGAGTAGTAGCTAGCGACGTGGCGGCCTCGATCGGATGGCGCGAAACGGTTCGGATTGGGAGGGACACGGAGCGGCGCGATCCAACGCGGGGGTGGGTGGGCACGAGCAGAGCAGGTGAGTTGACAAGAAGACGCGGCGGGGGAGCTTTTTTGTTGTCGAGTCAAACAGGACACGATCCGGAAGTTTGACTGACCGGGGGTTTGGTTTGAAAAGATGACCCTTTCCGATTACATACAGCGTGCACACGTACCAGACTTGCCCTGGGTCGCAACCCATCTCGATCGCATTCCGCACGTACGCTTTTTAAATTGCTAAACGGTTTATTTTTTATAAAATATTTCTATGCGAAAGTTATTTAAAAAAAACATATTGATCTATTTTTTTAAAAAATATTAACTAATACTTAATTAATCACGTGCTAATGGACCGCTCCGTGTTTCGTGCGCATGGTACGTGTTAGGAAGACCAGCTGCCGAACACAGCCATAGGCTACAATGAAATACAATATAAATTATCACATCACATTTGTATTTATGTGAAGGAGAAATGAGATGGGAGAGAAAAAAATTAGGTTACAAATTTGTAGTATGTTGTAGCCCGAGATCCATTATATTACTCTTTTTATTCTAAAATATAATAGATTTTGGTCAAAAGTTTATAGTATTAGGATATACATCGAACCAACATCTTTTATAGTTTGGGATGGAGGAAGCATGTGAGATAGATGGTGGATTAAGTATTAATGATGTATAACTAGCTATTGTATGAGTGGACTATCGGTTTACTACAGGTGATGTTTTAATTTTTAAAGCTAGTAATTGGCTATAGTTAAACTTGCTTTAACATTAAACCACTACACACGTATTAAAATACACACTTAAAAAAGATAGAAACTAGCGACATATACCTGTTCTCATTAAATCTACATGTTTGTGTTTAACACACATTTCTTAGGCAACTACTAATATTTATATTGTGTAGGACCTTACTAACATTTTTAATGTAAGTGTGAGGATAAGAATGTGGATTTAGGCAGAAAATACTTCTCTGAATGGTTAATAAACACATTTTTTTAAAAAATGTTCCTTATAGATGATCCTATAAAAAATCAAATAAATATATTTCTAAAGTTTATAATAAATAATATTTAATTTAGCATATGTTGATGAGTTGCTTTGTTTTGCAAGCTGCAATAAGCTAAGCCCTAACATCCATGTGAAAATATGTTTCTTGAAAACCCATAGTTTTATCACATGATCAACTGTTAAGAGGTAAAAAGATACAAAACTTAGAAAACAATTTTTTTGAAGCATCCCCTTAGCCTACACAGGTGGTTCATAAGGGCAATCACATGTGTGATACACAAGACAGGGGAGGATCACAGATCGCATGTGGGGAAGGGTTTCCATAAGTGGTTATCTTAAGTCGACGGCCTCTAGAAATATAACCATTTCCACAAGAGGTCTACTTAGATGACTGCCTCTGATAATAGACATGACCATAATATGTGATTATGTCACTTGCCCAGCTATTCTCACATGTAGTTTACCTAGGTTGATAGCTCCACTATAAGGGCCTATTTCCTCGAGCTGCTCCTTTTCAGATTGAGCTTGTCAAAAGTGGAGCATGTTAGAAGTGGAGCAACTCACAACCTAGAAATTGTCATGTGGAGTCGACTCTTGACGAAATTATTTATTGCTCAAAGGATGATGATAGTGTGAATCACTATGATAATTACAGAAATAACCCTAAAAAGTCACTAAGCCAAACATTTGAGTCAACCCCTCCGGCCCTCCTTTGAATTCATAGTAACCTCAACACGGGTTCTACACCGTTCTACACCATTGTTACATGTGAAATTATTGCTTTTGAGTGAGAAGCATGGGTGTTGTAATCGTGGGTATCAAAACATGCACGGATGTGCTATCATCGTAAATCCTATCTATATATCCTATATAATTGGAACCAAAAGCTTGACATGCATTGAGCCACATCATCTAGAAAAATATATGGTGATGGAACTAATTTTATGATGATATCCATTGTGGGACCACACAATAAACTAATAAGTTATCAGCTCATGCGCCATGAACATCTCAAGGTAAAAGATAAAACTAGTATGTCTTTGTTGTTGAATTAATTCCATATAGAGAATTAGAAATGCAGCTCATGCATGCAAGGAAAGTAGATTGGTTAGGCATTGTTTTCCACCCACATCTTAGTTGATCTTTTGAGGTGTTGGATATTGATTGTATAATCAACATGTGTCCACACTTTTTACACATTGTACTAACACATCTACTTCCACTATCCCTCACAATCTCTCTCCCTCACCCTCTCTCCGTGCACACACGTCTTGTCTGCAAGGACCACACCCCATCCCCAGCCACCAATCTCCACATCAAAATCCCGTGACTCCTCCCTAATTGATCCCCAACCATCCTTCTCCACATACACCTATATTCCTACTCCCCATCCATTTCCTCATTGTCTCTGTCGTTTCACGGTGCGTGCCTCCCCTCCACCCCTCTCCATCACTCACTCATTCCACCTGTAGGGCTCCTGCTTGTTACCCCTATCCATGGCCCGCATCTCCTTCCACACGCCCTACCCCCGATGACTCTCACCTTTCACCCTATACACCACCCCACTACTTGATACTCCTCCTCTATCGCTTATCTCTCCCTGCCCCCATCACATCCCTTCCTCCACCATATACACCTCATCATGTCACTTCCCTCTGTCCATCCCGCCTCCTCCATCGAGGACACCACTCCTCCCCCTCATCCTCTTCTCCACCATCCCATGTGTCCATAACGGTTTGAAACCTACACGTAACATTAGATCCACATGATTCTATGGTTCATTTAGATGTGGATGAAGATAAGATAATGGTGACTTGTGTGTTACCCCATCCTTCAATATCGATGAGCAAAACAACTGAGAGGAAGAGAGGAAGACCACGCAAGCATGCGCAAGGAATTTCGGTGTCTTCTATTAATCTAGAAGGCAACAACAATATTTCTCTAACAATTCACTTACCCAAATTAGATATATATAGTCAAATAAAGAGAGGAATGCCTGCCCAAGCATGTGACAAATACTTTAGAGGATCCTTCTCAAACTTCTATTGTTGAGTGCAAGAAGAGGGAGGGTTGACCATATCATTTGCGTAGTAATTGAAAAAAAATGTTGAGTAATTCATGTTTGCTAGTACCTGATGGATCGACAAAACATAAGCGATCATCGGAACTTGACAGGGACGACTTGCATCTGCCATTTTTTTTTTCAAATTTCAGATCATCCTAGCGAATATGTCAATGAAATATTCATCATGATGGGCCAAATTCTACTATGTCATTCATATCCTACACTTTTTAATTATGTATCACACACAAACTCACACACACACACACACACACACACACACACACACAATTTTACCCTTACCCTCTCCAAGGGATGATGTGGTGTGCCAACTTGGCTGATGTAGCTGAAGTGAATGTAGGCATGCCACATCAGCTCCTAGCAGGATGTTGATGCTTTGGGATGTACAATAGTACATTAGACAAGATTAAAAGTATAAATATACAATACAAAAGATTTTAGAGTCTACATGGCGCTCTATTGCAAGTTTAAACCATTATATGCCTAGCAATTTGTTTGACATCATTTTCTTATAAATTAGATGATGCCCCACACTTTGTTGCGGAATACATGGATGAATCTATCTTAAAATTGAACACAACATGATAAGGGATGAGGTGAAGAAGGGAAAGAAGTTGGAGAAAGAGGTAAATTCTGAGTGACTAATTAATGGAAGACGTATTAACTTGGAATAAGTGAAGTTTACATATGACTTTCTGAATCATAGGGTCACTTCAAAATTCATTGAATTCCCTGTTGCAACAAATATTTTTTAGATAGTAATAGTACTAGATATGGAGTCGTAATGAAGGAAAGAAATAAACCGAAACAACCTCGTTTTATATCATACAATGAATGAATGAATTGTTTGTTGGTTGTGGTGTAGTAGTAGGCGAATACCCATACGCGACAGCAGCGGTGGAGGAGAAAGCGGTGGTGGCGTCTGGAGACGAAGGATAAGCCGACCACACAGTAGGGATGAGCGAGTGTGAGCCTCCTCCTCCTCTGTGAGGAAGAAGAAGGGGAAGGAGGAGTGCACGTGGCAATGCACGGAGGAGCTAATTCTCTCTTCTCTCATGAAGCCACATCACCTCAGTTTTTTTTTTTTTTTACTTTTGGATGATTCGTCAATGCTGCAAACTGTATCTCTTCACCCAAAAAGCCACATCATCTACCCTAATCATTTATAACCTTGATCGAGGTACAATATACAAAAATCACATGAAAGAAAATTGTATAGTTAGCAACAAAGTAAAATTTACAACTCATATGTAATATTTTGTCATGCAGATTTCCCACAGCAACGTGGGGGATTCTCATCTATTTTATTTATGTTCACGGATTTTATTATTGAGAGAGCGTGGGTTAAAGGAGGCACACTCAAAAAGTATGAGTATAATGTATACTAGATTTTTTTTATGGTGGTCTCTACTACTAGAATTAATCTAGATGTTTCATATTTTTTTTTATCTGATAGAACATATTAGTTTCTAACACCATCTTAATTATTGATAATAGATTATTTCTTTCTTTTTGGGGGTGGGGAGGGGGTTGATCATTTCTATTTTTCTGGGGAAGCACTGCACGGCAAG